GAAGCTGCAGAAACCAACATGGATAAATTAAAGGTGAAGCAATCACTTCAAATTAAAAAATCAAGTTACCAAGATACAGCACTACTACTGCTTCTTGTCAGCAGGGTAGGCAACGTGCCACTTAACCAGCTTGTTAATATTCTGGTCGACAGGCACATCGACTCATGTGAAAAATGGGCCAAATCCATTTTATCTAACTCATATCACCCACTTCACCCACAACTCTCCCCTTGCATCTCATCAGGCAAAACCAGAAGTCTATATAGAAAACTATATGCTCGCACCAGCAAGTACAAAAACTCAACCATACCCTACTTAGCTCGTGTTCTGTGCGATAAAGAAAGCATTAAACGTGACACCTATAATTCATTAAATAGTCAGTAGAACAACTGGACCTCGTATTTCCAACTCATATCACTTATAGGTACAACATTTTCTTTCTTTCTTTTCCTTCTCTTGCTCTCTCTCTTTTTCCGTTATGTGCTGCTTTGTTTCTTTCTCTCGCTTACGCCAGTAAATATGACACCTCCTACTTTTCTAACACTTTCAAACACTCTTCAACTTTGGCTTGGCTACCGACATGCCAATATTGTTGTTGTCATAATGAACTGAGATTTCCTTAATCTATGTAGAATTCTATTTATTGATAATGTACTAACTGGATGCAATACTGTAGTAACAAAATGCTGAGAATTCTATTCTGTATCACATGTACTGTTTTGGAATAAAGCAAATTATTATTATTATTAATCAACTAAGGGCCTGTTGTCTAGGAAATATGCCGAAGTAAATAAAGACTGATCGGACACGCACTCAGGAAACTGTTGAGGGACATCATGTGTCATTCTTAGCCTCGAGTGGAACCTGAATACGAATTGAGATATGGGTTGGGCGTCCGAGTGTGAAATGGCGGAGATACTGTGAGAAGGAGACGAGAGTCAGCTTAATAGGCTTTCAGGAAACGGGATGGAATGCGAATATTCTACTTAAGCCATATGTTCCACTCGGAACCTCAGGGAATAATAATATTACTAATAGAGATTGATGCTAAGAAGAGGAAACAAACAATATGCTTTATGCTTTAGGAGGACTTGTCGCCTACATAGACGACAGAGAGTTGTCCTTGGTCTTGGAGCACATTCTGATGAAGTAACAATAGTCGGCATGACTGACACTGACGATAGATTACTTAGTTGTTTAATAATCTGTAATCAAAAATTGTAATAGTAGAATTTGGGTACTGTAGTATAATAGTCTGTTTTCTAAAGTTTGGTTTGTAAGGGTTAGTTATGTTTTACGAGTTGATCACGGACTGATATCAGTTAGAGAACCATTGAAAACCAGGGAGTACTGGACAGCTGCTGTTTCATCCTAGTTTGGGAATCATCGGCAGTACACACCCACTGAGATTCGAACCCAGGACCTTCCGGTTACAAGGCAAGCTCGTATACCATTCAGCCACTGGGACCCGATTCAGTGGCTCATGAATTCAAACTTCTACCCATTCGTGATTTAGCGCGACCCCAACCATTGTCGTTGGTGAGACATCCATCCACACACGTGACATCTAATTGGACCTCACTGGTCACGACCCCTCACTAGAACTCCAGGAACCTCCATCCTGTAGCAAGTCACTAGCGAGCATCATATTAATTTTCTAAATGGTTCTCTAACTGATATCAGTCCGTGATCAACTCGTGAAACATAATAATCTGTCACTGATATAGTAATAATAACTGGATGATGCTTCGTGCCCAACTGACTGCTCATAATCATGTAGCCTTTTAGAACAGCCCTACAAGCAAGCAAGAATTAGAGCAACACTTAAACTGAACAACCCGTTCAGAAATGAACCATGTCCACTTATGAATCCGACAGAATCATTTAGAAAAAAATCCCTTGTGTTCTTAATGGAACATAGGGCTTCAGGGTTCAGCGTGACAGCTTCAAAAGCGCTCATGTTATTTTTGTTGAATGTATCTCCTGGTCCCACACTCACGTTTCGTTCGTTTCCGGGCTCACTACCAACTAGGCGAAATGTAGGAGTACGTCAACCGGGAACTGAATCCCGGATAAGCTGCGTGGCTTGCAAGAATCCTATCCCTAAACCACCGACTCACACTAGAGTCCGAAGTCTCTTTGAACTGGTTCCCCTACTTCCAAAAAGCTTCATTTCCTAGTCAGACTTTCTCCCTCACGTCACGTGTCGTCTACTATTCAGGTTCTCCTTATGCGTCCGAAGAGTGAAGTTGCACACTAGTCACCTCAGTTCTGTTTCTTTCTTGGTATTTCTTTATTTTTTTTCCCTTTCGACCAGTCCCTTGATCTTCAATATGAAGCGATCACAGATGCTGATGAAGATCTGCAGTAGTCCGTTGGAAAACCCTGCACTATTTCTCCAAGCGCCGATTTGACATAAGTGTTGAAAACCCGAATTTTCTTTTTTATACTGAATGCTTTGGATTTCTACACTGATTTTAGAGTAGCGGAATAGTGACATACTTTGGTGATGCGAACCTGGCTGAGTCTGATATTCTCGTTCATTTTACCTGCAATTGAAACGATGCTGCACAGGTCAGGAAAAGAGGTGACTATCTCTGGATATCTTCATCACCCCTGCTCTATTTATGTTAACTTGAGTTTCAGACTTGTCTACTTAGGGGGTTTAACAGTGTAAATGATTATAGACGCTTAGAAACTTTAAATTACTCTGAGTAGGGTTTTAACTCAGTAGACCAAGAGTGTGCATAACTTTTGTAGATAGTGAAAACTGCTAAATTCCATAGCTTCAGCCTTCTTGACGATTTTTTTCCTTCACGTTCCCAGTGGAACATAGGACCTCAAGCTAGTGGCTTGAAGTTTCCGTAGCAGTGCTTAATTTTTACAGGATGGCGTTGCTAGCCTCATGCCTAACCTTTCCTCTTTACCAGCATTATTTCTGACTTAGTGAGGTAAAGGAGTGCGTCGGCCGGGGATCGAACCCCAGACCATGTGCATGGTCGGCTAGCGTCCTAACCGCTATGCCACCGACGCTCAAAAGAAACTCTCTTGGCTTACGACTTTAGTTCTGATTTTCATATGAAGGCTATACTGTAATCAATAAACTTGCGCTTTAGACAATTCACAAATTCTAAAATCGCCTCCAATAGATGATAGTCATTCATCTCTTTTCAAAACAGATAAAATAGTATAAAGTCTGAAATCTTTTGTTCACAGAAAAAGAAAGCAAAGTCCTTATACACTCAATTGTTATTCTGTCACACTGCAAAGGAAATCGTAAAAAGCCTACAATTCACTTCCTCATCAGGCCACCGGATTCCACCCACTTCCTCCTCTTCTGTATTTCTATAGCATAATTCCATCCTACGTAATATAGACAGTGGTTATGATGACATGATGGTGACAATATTATCGTCTTCAGTATAACCATTACGAAAGAAACCTTTACTGCTTAGATGCTTTCATTATATACATTGACTATAAAAAACAATTTTCCAGCATTTATTGGCTGTTTTTATATTTTTGTCGTACTCAGTAATTCAGTAAAATAAATCGTTAAAGGACTTTGAATACGAAGGCTAGTTATCTATAGAAGTGGCTAGCAAACTGTAAATTCAGGGAAATCACTCAATGAATTTCACAATTGATCACGAAGTAACTTCAGTTAAAGAACCACTGAAAAAACAGTCAGCTGTTTCGTCACGGTTCTAGACTCACCATCACCAAATATTCCATGCAGAATCAAATCCAGGACATTCCGGGTATACGGTGAGTTCGTTAACCACTCAACTACTGTGATGGGACCTATGAATGGCCGATGAATTCAAACTTCTGACAATTCGCGATTTACAATACAACCGCCGGCCAATGTTCCAGCCTAGTTTTCAGTGGTTCTCTAAATCACTCCACATTGCTAAAATGCTTTCCATTATTCTCTACTGATTTTTGATGCTTCTCTGAATGAAGTCAGTGTTTGACCGGTCATGGAATCAATCATATCCTTTCAAACCAACCACTGGATGAATCTTGGCATGTAAACAGTCAGAAGATAAACATGTAGCCTATCTTCAGTCCTCAACTGCCCCTATATATATATATATATATATATATATCCACGCTGAGTAGCATTCACATACTGTTTAAATAAAGGCATGTGGAATTGTAGTGAACAGATTCTTAGAGAAATAAGGTCCATGAATTTGGGGAAAAGAGTAATCCTCATAGATGTCTCAAACTTGAGTCGAAGAACATAAACCATCTGTCAAAAAGCACAATATATATCTATATTCCTTCATACCAATCAATACATGTGGATATATGAGGGTGCCAATTTACCTGGGAAGATGTACAAATTCTTGAAACAATGAAAATGTAGAGAATGCGAAGAAAAATCCCTAAACGTCAGATGCAAAAATCAATATATGCTCGACAGACACACTGACATGGATCAAGTTTATCACTCAGTGAAGAACAACACATCGGGTGATAAAATCAGTTGCCGAATCAAAAGCACCATAAATTAACAGAGGGATAAAACAAAGCCCTTTAGAAGACATAGGACGATAGGATTTGATTATTACTGGACTGTGTGATACAACATATCACGTTACATTTTTTCTTTACATTGAAGCTGTGTTCCAATGGTCCACACTTTTCATTCCTTCATGTGCCGCATGGAACACAGGGTTTCAAGCTCAAGGTCTCATATCTCAGTAATGACTGTTTTGGCTTTTGTGGTATGGGGTCACTGGCCAGACTCCCATCTCCAAAGCTCATCAGTTAATCAGTAATTTTGCACCCCATAAGGCGAACAATCACATTCATAGTGATTAGGAGAGACAGTTACATAATTCGATGAATAATTTTAAAAGCCTGACTAAACATTGAAGTTAACCCTTGTCTGGACGGTTAATGAAAAATTCCTTAAGAAAAACACATGCATAACAGAGAACACAAGAAAACATCAATTTATACATTTTTTTGTGTCTACACCAGCTTACTTGATGATGAGATTTCTGACCTTCAACAACTGTGAACTCATAGGATGATTCATTGAAAACTGGTTTACAATCATTAACATCCTCAATAGTTATAATAACTTGTGTTGATGTTTTATACTCAGACGATTTTTGATTTTCATTATCCACATACAACTGATTTCGATTGATTGCTTCAATTGTACAATTAATCGATGATATACTTTCACGATCTAAAGATATTTGACTGATCAACTCTCCAGTGTTTTCATTAATCATTATTAAATTATTATCAAAGTGTACTGTATTCATTGAAGAGCACATTGATTCTGGTAAAGGTGTAGCTGGTGTATACTCTTGACTGACTAATCGATATACAATCTCAGCATTTTTGCCTAAATCAGCATCAGTAGCACGTACCTGTATAATAGTCGTTGACGCGTCAAGACCTTCTTTCAGTTTAGCAAAGTAGAATTGACGTTCAAACACCGGTGGTGAATCGTTCACATCATCCACTTGTATTAGAATACTGGTTTCAGCGGTCAACGGGGGTTCTCCAGAATCCCAACATTCAATTTTTACTGTATGTGATGATTTTGTTTCACGATCCAGTGATTTTTTCAATAAAATCCTAAAATCAGAATTAGTCGCTGTATGCAATGGTACAATATCAAACAGTTCGTGTTTACTTCGACATTCAGACTTTTGAAAATTGCCTAACATTTGATTTGTTCTAGCAGCTTGTGGTATAAGTTCATCCGGGTCGATTACATTAATCATAGCGACAAGAGATCCAGGCTGAGTATCTTCAGCTATCCATATTTGATTACCTCTTGATGATAAGCGTAGATGAGAGGCAACATGTATGGTTGGTGGATTCATATTAATCTTGCGTAGAACCACTTTTAACAACATTTGTGTGATATGTATTTGATCACTGACTTGAATAGGTATAATATGACCCATTTGTGAACCTGTAGAGGTAGTAGTAGTTGTAATATCCATCCTACTATTTAAATTCATATTTACATTTGAATTATCCTGTGCTGGCAGCAAACTAGCATTTTGATAACTCAATGGCATAATAAGCATCAGCTCTCCAGTTTTTGAATTCAGTCTAAAACATCGCTGAACTTCAGGGCTGGCTGATGGTCCAATCTTGTAGACTAGAGAATCATGATCAGCAGAATCCAAGTCACTGGCTGACACCTGATAGATAACAGTCCCTGGTTTAGTATTCTCTGGAATAATTACAACTGGCTGAGGATTCTTGAACACTGGCGGATTATCATTTTTATCCATCAATAGTACACGAATTAGCACTGATCCTGTATGCTTATTCACTGGATTAGACAATGGTCTATTACCACTATGTATCTCACTAGAAGTATCACCGCCATCAATTGCATATAGAATCATTTCATAGGATGATTGGCTTTCTCTGTCTAAATCCTCTTCAACACGCAGTCTCAATGAAAACTTTTGCATTTCAGCATTGGAATTTTCTAAAGCATGTACATCTAAACTGAATGGTTGTTTTGTGACTACATTTCTATTCGAATGGCTTGGAGCAGTATGACCAGTATCATCCTCTTTCAATGGTTTATTTTGCAGCTCATAGGCTATCACTGTATGCATTGGTCCTTGATCAGGATCTATCGCTTCAGGCAACTGATAACTTGTCCCTATAGCTACATGTTCTGGTATCTCTAACTCAATCACTGATTGTACCCATCTTGGTGTATTGTCATTAATATCTAATACATAAATAACAATTTCCAGAAATTGTTCCTTATCTAACTGAAGAAGTACAAGCATACGTAGTACACAATTTGGTGAAATCAATGACAATTGTCCAGTTAATTTATCATGATTACTTATATCCAGCTTATAATTTGACCATAATTGAAAGTCAGTTTGTCTATCAGTATGACAACATGTTCCCATAGTATCACACAATGATTCACGATCAATACGTGTACGTACAAGCAGATCACCGGTCGTTTGATTTAAACTAATATACGGAATTGGTTTTAAATTAATAAATTGATTGTTTTTCTTATTATTCCCATTATTATTGTTTTTATTACTGTTACTGTTACTATGACTCAGTGTGTTTGTTATTAACCAATTAGGATTCTGTAAATGTAATTTATTCAGTATATTGCCTACTATCGTACCAATTGGGACTTCTTCAGTGACAATAAATGCAAGCTGTAGTGTCGTTGTTGTTGCTGATGATGATGATGACGTCAGGGATAAAGGATCATTATCAGGCATTAACATATCATCATTTCTGTGAAGTGTATTATGCACAGGATACTGATGTATTGATTGTGACAATTGATTCGACGTCATTGATGTATTTACACCTAATTGTTTACTGCAATTAATTTCTGTCACTAATAATATCAGTAAATAGATATATTGAATAATATAATTACTATCGAATAAAATATGAATTAATCTTATGTGTAAAAATGTATTTGATTGGAATTTAATACCATAATTGTGATTATTTCCACAATCAGTTGTAGGCATTATAACTAGAAATGAGCAGAATTGAAAGAATTGTAAACATAATTTTCCGAATTGAATTAATGCTGGATATCAGGAATAAATTTTTTTATAAATTTATAAATGTTGATAAAACGATCATGTTATGTAATGTCTATGTGTTCTTTTATTGTAAGTAAACATTTCTGAAAATCTATTTTAGTTTAGATGAACACGTTTTCAGGTTAAGTTAAATTCTTCTGTTATTTAGCCAATCACAATTCTAACAGATATTCATAGTACATTTATTTTAATTCTGATTGGTTCACATTTTTTAGTGTTATTTGATTGGTTAGATTGTCAGTTTTTTATTTGTTGATTGCTTTAGTTAGTCATTAAATCACTGAAGGTAATTAAAATAATAACGACGTTTGCAATTTGTATTAATTACCTTGTTCAATAAAACATTATCCTATAAGTTCATACAGCAACAAGTGAATTATTATTATTTATTGTTCCCTTGGGTTCCTAGTGGAACATAGGGCTTCAACTGCACATCTCCACTTGCTTCTCTCTTCTGCTGTACTTTTCACCTGCATCCATGTTAGTCCATACTGTTTCAACTCCTCTTCACACGATCTCCTCCATGTCACCCTTGCACTGACGTCCCACTCGCCGCTTCCCTTTCGGATTCCACTCGAGCTATGGCCTGACGCGCGATGTCACCCAGTGGCCTCCTCAGCGAGTGAGTGTCCAATCCATCTCCACTTTCTCCTGCATATTTGTTGGGCGACTGGTTCTGTTTGTTTTGTTTCTTCCCATAGTTTCTTGTTGCTGATTCTTTCCGGCCATCTGATCTTCAGTATAGAGCCAGCGAAGACAGTTAGTTGTTGATAAAGGTCTGCAACAGGCTGTTGGAAATATTCTTTGTGACCCACTGGCCAAGTTTCTGATCGATCCGTATAGAAGAACTGACTGACTTGACGTTTGTATTGAAAATCCGAATTTTGTTGTTGATGTTGAGGAGTGACAGCGGAAGATTTCCAGATTGGTTTCAGGTTGATGAATGTGTTTCTCGCCTTCCCGATTCTCGATTTGACATCCTCGTCCGTTCCACCTGCCTGTAGTTGAGACAATGCTCCCTAGATAAGTGAGTGAATGAAGTAACCTCTTTCAAATCCCTTCCGTTGATGGTGATTGGCGCTGGATGTTGCTGTTGTTGTTGTTGGTTGGTTATTTTCATAACCTCCGTCTTGTCTATGTTCACCTGGAGTCCTGTCTTTGCTGCTTCTTCGACCAGTTTGTCGGTTTTCGCTTGTTAGTCTTCGATTTTGTGTGACATCAAACATAAATCATCCACACGCGAAATCCAGGTCTTCTAGGTTCTTCACTTCGGTCCAGGATATCCCTGTCTTCTCGTTTCCCACTGTCTGACGCATAATCCAGTCCACCACAATTAGGAATATCATTGGTGATAATAAGCATCCTTGTCTGACTCCTGTGTTTACTCCAAACGCCTCCTTGATTTCACTTGCATATATCCAAATTAACATTTTCCATTCGGGTTACATTTGAGGCCTGCTTGGCGCGTAGTGTCACTTAATAGTCTCCATAGAGTGTAAGTAAGTAAGTGAGTAAAAGAAGTGATCTCATTCTAATTTCTTCCGTTGACGGTGATTTGTGCTTGTTGTTGTTCTTGGTACTCTGGTGTCTTGATCGCGTCTATCTCTTCTATGTTCGCTTGGAGTCCTGTCTTCGCTGCTTTCCTCTTCCACCAACGTTTTGCTTTCTACCTCTAGATCTTTAAGTTAGTATGATCTTAGAGAATTCTTATCTGTCCAATGTATTCCTTTTTTGTAGCTCCTTACTGCCTGCCAAATAATTCAATCCACTACAGTCAGAAAAGTCAGAAATATCATGGGTAATAATAGCAGCCTTCTCTAATTCGTTTGTTCATTTCAAAGGTTTCGTTGGTTTTCAGTTGTGAATCACTTGATATACAGCAAGAACATATAGCTGGTAAATGAGGTCGATAAAGCTTTGGTGTACGCCATAGTATTTAGACCCTTTACAAACCAATTCATGGTCAACGCTGTAAAAAGCTTTTTCAAAGTTGATGAACTTTGTGTAGCGATTTGACTCCCAATTGATATTCTGTTCGACGAAGATGCGTAGCGTTGATAAAGAATTAAATAGAACAACTGCAAATAATTCCAAGGTAGATTTAATTGCTACCCAACACTAGTCAATGAGGCACTGAGAACCACACAGCACTGGAAATCCTGGTTGGGGGCTATCTAGCAGCGCACTCTCATCATCTCATTATGAGTTTACCCATGGCCTTCAAGCTACTATGTAAGCAATTACCTTTGAGTCTCTAGTTCAGGGGTCCAGTAACTCATGAATATTAACTTTTATAAAGCCAAAATCATCGAAGCACCGCATGCTCCAAACAGCAGAGGCTATTGCAATTCGCCTCAAACAACCAGTGCTCTGTGTTCAAAAGAAACAAGTCCAGCCACTACTACTGCCCTGGCCCTCAGTAGAGACTATAAACTCATGAATTTGTACTATTATCTTTCCTAATTCTTCTGACATTCAGCTTATTTTATGTTGATGCTGTTCAGCTGTAATCTATCAATATTATTGATTCGATGTTATTTAAACATTAATGTCGTTCATAACACTAATTCATTCATTCACTATAATGTATATATAAATGTACAGCCTGATGATGAATTTATCGAAAAGAGTACTCTTTGTTCAGTATCCATTCTTTTATAAAGCCGCCGATCACAAGTTGAATTCCCTAAAATCTGAGTTCCAAGGATGTGCATTATGAGGAGAGATAAATGCCTATCCCATTGGTTGACAGAGGCACTATATATTGTGAGTTAGTTGGATGGTTTGAACTGATTCAACTCTCTGAACTAAGTCCGATTTGGCTACACTGCTGGTGAGATCGACGTCAAACCAGCGAAATAGCAGTGTTTAGATTACATCAGCTTGACAGGCTAGGAAGCACTACTAGTTAATTTGATTGATGCACAAGTACAAGGCTGCCTACTATCTCCAATGATTTTCCTGATTGAAGTGGATTGGATAATGCCACAAAGAGCAGGCAATGAGGAAACAGGCATAAAATGGACTCACACAAAAAACTTGGAGGATCTGGACTTCGCCAATGATATATTTGTGTCTGATTTCCCACAAACTGCAAGATATGCAAGTGAGAAGCAACAAGTTGGCAGAAGAAACATCAAGAGATGATAGGACTTCAGGAGAACATAGAGAAAACAGAGGTGATGGAGATTCCTGGTCAACGCCACCAACAGCAACAACAACAACAGACAACAATCAGCCAGCATAAATGGGAGGAACCTGAAAGAAACAACCTCTTTTACCTACCGACGTGGGAAGCATCGTTTCAACTGCAGGCCAGCGGAACTGACGAGGATATCAAAGCAAAACAAGCTTTCACTACTCTCAAGTCTGTGTGAAGGAGGCCAACAGCCCTACTCAGCATCAAAACGAAGATAAGATCCGGATTTTCAACTCCAATATAAAGTCAATGCTACTCACTGTATGGATCAGAGACTCGCACTGAGCGTCATAAAGAGCATCTCGAATAAACTACAGTCCATCATTAACAGTTGTCTTCGCTCAATACCACTCAAGATCAGATGGCCAGCCAGAAAAGATCAGCAACAGAGAGGTATTTCTGGCAATGAGCGAACCAACTCAGCAGAAACCGATTGTGAAACAAACAAGCAGGAAGAAATGGAAACCATCAAGTGACATCATTATACAAGCGATTGCTCGAGTGGAACCCGACTGAACGGGAATCGGCGAGTTGGTCGTCAGTGTGAGGGTGAGTGACTTGTAGGAGGTCATGTGAAGATGAGATGAAAACGTGTGGAGAGACTTGGAGCCAGGTGAAGACTCTAGCAGAGAACCGAACGCAATTAAGACGGTTGGCCGAAGGCCTATGTTCCTCTAGGAATTAAACGAAACAATAATAATAAATAATGATACAACTACTTATCTAAATCAATGAGAAGTGTGTAGTTTTACTCACTTATGCTTGACATCTTGAATACGATTTATGGTATCAAGTAGGTTGCATGTTTTGATCTAAATAATAATATCGGTTCCCAAAGGAAGCTGTGGTGAAATAATCCCCTTGAGCTGTTTAAATTCTAAAGTAATCTGAAAAATCACCAACCAATTTGCAAATTGAGAATTTGATTGATTTCTGGATTCGTCGTATTTGCAATCCTGGGGTTATTGGATTCTGACGTAGCGTCTGGATCATATAAGTACTACCACATATCACATATATAATCAAGTTCCCCTGATTAGTCTTCATTTCTGATTTGTTTTCAATAGCTTCAAGATTGATACTGGTCCGCGGACCAGTACACTGTGAGGTCAGGCTATCCTCACAGAGTTCCCAACCTCACATAAATAATTTATACTGTAAAATTTCCTCAACTTACTACATCACTTAAAATTTTGTCTGTCCATCAAAAGACTTAGTCTATGTGCTACAGGAAAACGTCAGAAAAAAACATTGCTTTACATAGTGACTCAGGGAGTAAATTTATTTTTTAATGCATACAGTCTTGTTACCTATTTAAACCTGCCCATTATTTTATCCGGGAGATGATGTGAAATGTCAAACAACCGATCGACTATATGATTGACTGACTTCCACAAAAGAGAATTTCACATTTTACAAATTTACCCAAATTCTATGCCAATAACTACCACTGTACTGGTTAGGGTTTTGCTGGAATGACAACAAAATATGGTTACTGTGGTTTACAAACTTCTACTATCATGTTAACAACAATGTTGACTTCTATTGATTTGATTTTAATTGTTGTATTTCTGTAGAACTCTTACGTAATTCCATATTTTCCTCAGTTTCTATGAGCATCCTGACCACAAGTCACTCATTAAACTATTCATTTTATATTATTATTTTTCCCTTGGGTTCCTAGTGGAACATAGGGCTTCAACTGCACGTCTCCACTTGCTTCTGTCTTCTGCTGTACTTTTCACCTGCATCCATGTCAATCCATACTGTTTCAGCTCCTCTTCACATGATCTACTCCATGTCACCCTTCAACGTCACACTCGCCGCTTACCCTTCGGGTTCCAATCGAGCGTTGGCCTGATGCGCATGTCACCCAACGGCCTCCCC